GAATCTTGAAAATAATACACTAATCGAATGAAGCCAGACACAAAGGGCCACATATCCCATTTATTTATATTTATTTATTTATTTATTTTTTTCCTTTTTTGTCTTTTTTACTGACCAGCAACGGGATCGCAACCCTCGGTGTTGCGCCCGCACCACGCTCAGCCAGTGAGCAGGAACCGGTCTCCACATAGGATCCGAACCCTCAGCGGGAGCGCCGCCACGCTCTCAAGCGGCACACTCTCCAGTGCGCCACCGGGCCGGCCCCACATATCCCATTTATAAGAAACATCCAGAATAGGCAAATCTGTGAAGACAGAAACTAGATTAATGGTTGCCAGGGAAGGGGAGAATGGGCAGTGACTCCTAACGGACATGGAATTTCTCTTGGTATGATAAAAATGTTCCGAAACTAGATCGCAATGATGGTTACACAACTATGCAAATATACTAAAAACCACTGAATTGCACACCTTCAAGGGGTGAATTTTATGATATGTGAATTATACCTCAATAAATCTTTTTAAAAATAAAAAGAATAGCTCCTGATTAAGGACATCTAATTGTTCTGGGCACCAGCATGGAGCCCAAACAATCCTCCTGCCAAGATAGAGAAGGGGTGCCGTTATTACCCCATTTCACAAATGAGGGTGGTTGACAGATTTGTCCCAGGTGCAGCCAGAATAGTAAGAACAGAATTGGAACTCAAGTCCCACTGCCTCCAAGATGCTCTGGGTTCTTTGTCCCACATTAGAGTGTTAAGTACCCACCATGCGATCACCCCCTCTGTGCCAGCCAGGATGGTAGGTGCTCCATCAAGTGTCATTCCACTCAAGGCCCACCCCGAGGAGAATTGTCACTGCCACTTAGAGATGAGGAACGAAGGCCCAGAGAGGAATGACTTATTGCACAGTTGGTGACAGACTTGGACCTGAACCTCCATCTTTGCACTATTAGGTCCAAGCGAGCCTGCCACTTGGAGCTGCCTCCTCAGAATGCCTCTCTCGACTTCTGTGACCCCAGTGACTTTCTCTGCCCTCACCTGCTCTGTACTGGATCCCTCTCAAGCCTTATCTTGGTGGATGTCTCTCTCCTACAAAGTCCTGAGCTCCTCCCAGGCAGTGAGGCCCCTGAGCCCACGGCCCAGCCTTCCCCGGGCGCCAGCCAGGAGTTGCAGGATGAGCAAGTGAATGAGTGAAGGAGTGGGGAAAGTTCATTCATTCACTCAACAAATGTTTACTGAGTGGCCACTGTGCACCAGATGCTGTACAGATGTGGGGACACAGCATTGATCAAAGCAGACCAAAACCTCCTGGCCTCACGAACTCATGTTCAAGAGAGGCAAGGAGAGGATCAAAGAGGAAGGTCACCCAGCCCTACACTCCTGGTCTCTCCTCCCGTTGGCTTCCCACAGTCCCCTGCCATCATGAGAGGCAGGTTGTATGACACCTGCTTTGGTACCACACTGGGACCTCCAGCTCTGAGGGCAGACACAGGGCTGTAATTGTAGGTCACACATAGCACAAGACCGGCTTGGGGCACATAACTGGGCTCTAGAACTGGGGGCCCAGGCAGCACGCTGTGGACTGTCCACTGCATTGTAAAAAGGCAGTGCCACTGTCTTTTTCATATAGAAAAGTCCCTTGGCTTACTGTCCAGGGGAGTGGACAAATGGAGCTTGACAACTTTGGGAAGATTCCTAATAAAGAAACGAGGTAGTCAGCAGGAATCCCGGGATCCTGAATCCCAGGGTCAGAGCCCTCCTCCCTTACTCTTTTTCTCTCCCACCCCCGTGGAACCCTAAAAAGACTTTTTGTTTTTTTTTTTTTGGCACCTGGCCAGTATGGGGAACTGAACTCTTGACCTTGCCGTTATAAGGCCACACTCTAACCAACCGACCTAATTGGCCGCCCCAAAAGCCAGCTTTTCATGCCCATCTCTGGTCTTGGGCACTGGTTCCCAGCCTGGGGGCCCACTGGGGAGGTCCACAGCCCAAGGGCCCACTTAGAACCACAGCAGCAGTAATGGGTGTTCACTCCACTGCCCAGGCCTTGGCCACAGGGGCTTTGGCCTTGCTCTGTCTGTGATGCCCACCCTGCTATCTTTCTGTCTCCTGAGCCTCACTCAGACCCCTCATTCTCATCCCCAGATCTTGGCAGGGAGGCAGTAGCTGCCACTTGCTCTCCTGGCCCCTGCACTTTCCTATTTAAAATCCAAGAAGATCAATTGTTAAGTCAACACACCCATCAAGCCTGCTCCGTGCCCAGCCCTGGTGCAGGTGCTGAGGACACAGGTGAATCGGATACCTCTGGTATAGTTGGGAGGCAGATGCCATGGACACAGGTGCAGCAGGGGCTCAAGGTGCTGCAGGTTACACCAGAGGTTGGGGGAACAGGGAAGTCTTGAAGATGGTGTCCCATCGGCTGACCAAGCTTCACAGGATGAGCAAGAGTGGCTCCCCAGGGGACACCGACCACCCCCCGTCCCCGCCCAACCATCAGGGGCCTGTGGCTGTCATAGCCAGCCCCCTGCACTTCTCCATCATGACACTGATATCAGTACATTACCACTGCCTGCTTAGCATCCATCTCCCTGTCTCTTTAAGGACAGATCCATTTCGGTATCCCTAGAACTGCCCAGAACAGGGTGGGCCTAGAGCTTCTGTTAAATAAAGGAAAAGGGGCGAGGGGGGATGGGGGAGAACAGGCAGGCGGGCAGATGGAGGTGGTTTTGGCAGCCCTGCCCCCTCTGCTGCTCCAGCTTGATCTGCACAGCTTCCTGTCTCTAGCACTCTGGGCTGCACCACCATGACACGAACTGCCCACCTCTGCTGCCTCTTGGCCCTCTTGGTAGCAGGCCTAGCCCAAGGCATCGGGAGCTCCCTCCGAGCCCAGGTAAGTGCTCCCAACCTGCTCCCCGTAACCTTATCTCTGCCAGTCCTATGCCTGGGGTCACTCCTTCGGAAACAACTGGCTTGTCATTCCCATTTCTCAGAGAGGGTGACTGAGGCTGGAGAGGAGGTTGACCTGCCCAAAGCTCACATGGAGAGACAGAGGTTAACTGGCTGTCCCCCTAGCCCAGTGCTTGCATGGCTGGGAGCTAAGATGGGGTCCCAGCAATGACTCCTCCACTGGGCTGTCCCCTCTATATCCTTGATTTCTTGCCAGGACCCAGGTACCCGGCCACTGGAGCTGAAAGAGGTCTTCAGGTTGTTCCAGATCCAGTTCAACCGGAGTTACTCAAACCCAGCAGGTATCTCAGGGAATGTACATCACTAGTTAACCCCCCTTGCCCCACTTAATAGATTAAGAGATTGAGGCTCAGAGCAGGGAATAGGCTCAGAGCAGGACAATGGCTGGAGGTGTTCTCCCTGGCTTCCCAAATGCATGAGTGGATACCAGCCATGAACCTGAAGGGCAGGTGGCAGCTGTTGGGGGTCTGCCCCGTCCTAGAGGATCCTCTGGCTCCACAGCTGCTTTCCCGGGATTCCAGGCAGTGGGCAGGGGACCACCATCTAGTGATAGTCATGCGTTCACTCAGCAAACACCTAAGGATACCCATTTTGTTTCCAGTGGGGGTGCTCCCTCTCTACCCCAATGAACTGCCAGCCCTGCTCCTGCCCTCTCTCTGGGTCTCATCTCCCATAGGAGGCTGGTCTGTGGGCGCCTTTCAGTCCAGGCTGCCTGTGCCGTGTACCCGTGGCCCATCCTCCCCCACCCTTGCTATGTTCCTGCTCCAAATCTGTGGTCAGAGGTGTGAAGAGAGGTGGAGGAGGTAGCCTGGCAGGAAGCTGGTCTCCAGCCACCCACCTTTCCTTTCTGAGTCACTCTGCCTTAAGACCCCATGCTTGGCTTCCCCCCAGGGTGGACATTGATACCCTGCCCCCTGCTGACTCTGGGGAAAACCTAACCCTAAGTGGGCTGGGTAACCACTTCCTTGGCCCAGGTGTCCACAGTGGGGCCTGTGAGAGCTACAGTTAAGAACCAGGTCTCAGCTAGGTGGGGGTGTGTGGTAGGAGGCCACTTCCTGCTCCTGGGGGCTTGGGAGCCAACTTAGGACAACTCCCTTTTGGTCCAGAACAAGCTCGCCGCCTGGACATCTTTACCCACAACCTGGCCCAGGCTCAGCGGCTGCAGGAGGAGGGCTTGGGCACAGCCGAGTTTGGGGTGACTCCATTCAGTGACCTCACAGGTACCAGGGACCCTCCTGGCCCATATGTGGTGGGTGTGGAAGCAGAGTCTG